ATCAAAGAAAGTTTTGGCAATGACTCTAATCATGAAGTTGAGAAATTTGCGTCTTTCCACTGTCAAGGGAACGCGTGAACACATTATGCAACTCAGGGATATTGCGGCTCAATTAAAGGAGTTGGAAATCATTTTACCAGATGATTATTTGGTGTTTTTTGCACTTGATACCCTTCCTCAGGAGTACAATCCTTTTAAGATTTCCTACATCACACATAAAGCGGACTGGTCTATCAATGAGTTGATAACCATGTGTGCAATGGAGGAACAAAGGCTTGTGGCTAAGCTTGGGTATGTTCCATCTTCTTTTGTTTGTTTCGAATCTAATATGTCAGCAGTTAATACTAATTCTTGGTGGGTTGACTCTGGTTCAACAATCCACATTGCAAACTCTTTGCAGGATTTGACAAAATTGAGACAGCCAACGGGAACTGAGTGTAGCATCTTCTCTGGAAACAAGATTGCGTCACCAGTCGAAGCTGTCGAAGTTTGCAATTTAGTTTTGGACAATGGTTTTGTAATGACGTTAGAAAAGACATTTTATGTTCCTAGTTTTTCTAGGAACTTAGTTTCAGTATCTAGACTTGTACCCTTCGGATATTCTTTTGAATTTAATACCAATAATATCAAGTTATTTCATTATTATACTTGTGTTGGTACTGGTACATTGTCTAATGGTCTTTTCCGTCTTAAATTAAAGACTGATTCAGTTTACAATTCTTTACATGTTCAAAACGGCACCAAACGGTGCAGTATTAACGACAATTCCTCAATGTTGTGGCATCGGAGATTAGGTCATATCTCCCTTGAGCGTATTAAAAGGTTGGTAAAGGATGGAGTACTTTCTACTCTAGACTATACTGACTTTGAGACTTGCGTTGACTGCATTAAGGGTAAGCAGACAAACAAGTCAAAGAAAGGTGCCAATAGAAGTACAACGTTGTTGGAAATTATTCATACTGACATATGTTGTCCTGATATGACAATACCTGGTCAGAAATATTTCACCACCTTTATTGATGACTTCTCAAGTTTTTCCTATGTGTATTTACATCATCATAAACATGAAGCATTGGATGCCTTTAAATCATTTAAAGCTGAAGTTGAAAACCAATGTAACAGGAAAATACACATAGTTAGGTCTGATAGGGGTGGTGAATACTATGGTAGATACAATGAGAATGGGCAAGCACCTGGTCTATTTGCTAAGTTTCTTCAAGAGCATGGGATTGTTGCCCAATACACCATGCCTGGTTCTCCGGACCAAAATGGTGTAGCTGAAAGAAGAAATCGGACCCTTCTGGATATGGTGCGGAGTATGCTTAGCAACTCTAAGCTTCCTAAGTCGTTGTGGGATGAAGCACTTAAGACGGCAACATATATATTAAACCGTGTTCCAACCAAGGCTGTCCCTGAGACACCGTTTGAGTTATTCAAAGGTTGGAAACTGAGTTTGCAACATATGCGTGTTTAGGGATGTCCGTCTGAGGTGAGGATATATAACCCACACGAGAAGAAACTTGACCCAAGGACGATTTGTGTTTTCTTTATTGGATATGCACAATCTTCTAAGGGTTATAGGTTCTATTGTCCATCTCATACTACTAGGATAGTGGAATCAAGGAATGCTAAATTTCTTGAAGATGACTTGATTAGTGGGAGTGATCGGTTTAAGGACTTAGTTCTTTCCTTCGATCATATTGACTCTCAACCTTCTACGTCATCTGGTGGGGTTGTACTTATCCGCAGTGCTCCTTTAGTTCTGCCTGTAGATATACCACCTACCGTTGAGATTCCGCAAACTGTTGAGGATCAACCTTTGGAAGAACCAGTTCAGGACTTACAGCAACCGCCTGAACTAGATTTCGAACCAATGGTTGAACCAACTCAGGATATACAGCAAGATTCTGAGCCGATGCAGACTGAACCGATTCAAGAATTGCCACCAGTTCCTGAAGAGGTAGTTGCCCCGCAGCCTATACAAGGTGATGAGGGTCAACTTTAAGACGGTCTACTCGGATAAGGCGATCAGCAGTTCCTAGTTATTATGTTTCGTATCTACAAGAATCTGACATAGGGGCCGAAAATGATCCTGAAACATTCTCTCGAGCCATAAATTGTGTACAGTCTGACTTATGGTTAGAAGCCATGAAGGATGAAATAAATTCCATGAAGGACAATGGAGTTTGGGATCTTGTTGAGTTGCCTAATGGGGCCAAGGCCGTTGGCTGTAAATGGGTTTTTAAGACTAAAGAAACTCATTAGGCAACATTGAGAGATACAAGGCCCGGCTTGTTGCCAAGGGATTTACTCAAAAAGAAGGAATCGATTACAAGGAGACATTTTCTCCTGTATCAAAGAAAGATTCACTTCGGATCATTCTGGCATTAGTTGCACATTTCAATCTTGAGTTGCAACAAATGGATGTGAAAACCGCTTTCCTAAATGGTGATCTAGAAGAAGAGGTTTATATGAAACAACCTGAAGGTTTCTCTTCTAGGGGTGGTGAGAATTTAGTATGTAAGCTTAAGAAATCCATATGCGGTTTAAAACAAGCCTCCCGTCAATGGTATATCAAATTCGATGGGGTAATTTCTTCATTTGGTTTTGTTGAAAATCCCTCAGATAACTGTATATACCAGAAGGTGAGTGGGAGTGAAATTTGCTTCCTTGTTTTATATGTGGATGACATCTTACTTGCCACCAATGATAAGGGGATGCTTCGTGAAACAATTTCTTTCTAAGAACTTTGATATGAAGGATATGGGTGATGCCTCTTACGTTATCGGCATTAAAATTCGTAGAGATAGGTCCCGGGGTATACTGGGTTTATCTCAAGAAACCTATATAAACAAAGTTTTAAAGAGATTTCATGTGCAAAATTGTTCATCTAATGTTGCTCCCATAGCTAAGGGTTAGACTTTTGGAGAGCTGTAAAGAGGGTTCTAAGGTATCTAAGATGAACCAAAGGTTACAAGCTTGGGTTTAGGCAGACGGACAATTTAGATGTTGTCGGTCATTCAGACGCGGACTTTGCTGGCTGTGTTGATTCTCGAAAATCAACTTCAGGGTGCGTCTTTATTATGGCCAGTGAAGCTATCTCATGGAGAAGTGTTAAACAGTCCTTAATAGCTACTTCTACCATGGAAGCCAAGTTCGTTTCCAGTTTCGAGGCAACTTCATAGGGTGTTTGGCTAAAGAATTTTATCTCTGGGCTTAGAATTATGGATTCCATATCTAAGCCATTGAAAGTTTACTGTGACAACTCAGCTGCAATCTTCCTAGCTAAGACCACAAAAGTGGGAGTCGAATTAAGTACATCGACATCAAGTTCTTAGCAATTAGGAATCGTGTCAAAAATAAAGTTGTATTCTTTGAACACATTCATACTGAGTTGGTGTCAGCAGATCCCTTGACTAAATGCATGCCTTCAGTTAAATTCAAGGATCTGGTTCAGAAAATGGGACTTTTTCCCACTATGGAATTTGTATATACATTCAGTTTAAAATTCTTTGGCATTCAGACATTTTCTCAATTAAGTGTGTACACCTTCATTTGCTTCATATTGATGAGAAAATGTACTTCAGGGACTTGGAATAAACATAAGGTTTATTTCGTTGGGTTTTGTTTCCTAATTAAGTGCTCAATGGCAGTTTGCATTTGATCATAATGGATACTACTCGTGCTAATGAGAACATATCATTATGGTTGGTGTTTTTCTGTTATTGAGTGGTAGTGCTTGCACCAAGTGGGAGAATGTAACGTTTATCCGTTACTATTATTATAACATTAGGATAAGTTATGATAATATTTAGTATTTGATATGTGGTGCAACACTAATAACCTAATAACTAGACTACCATTATGATTAGGAGTCTGGTTAGGGTTTAGGAGACCTAAAGACAATCAACCACAATGATGGCCAGTGGTTATATAAGGTCACTAGTCCTCTCACTGCTCACATTACATACCTCATACACCATCTAGAGAGAGCCGAGTAAAGTGAGAGACAAAATACTCGTTATCTCTGCAGCAGTCCGGATCGTTCAACCGTGTAAAGAGCTATGGCTGGAGGTTAGTCGATCCTATTATCACATATTATATGATGCATGTGATACTTTAGTCTAACATAAGAAACATGGAAATAAAAAGCATATGCATTAAATTAGCAAAAAATTTTGTTTTGCATGTTTTCCAACAATGTCTTCAGATTAATGAATATAAATATAATATGATTACACTTACTTAACATCTTCAATAACAAAGTCAATAAGCCTTGCCTCCTTTCTAGCCAAGGACCTTGTAGTCCAATAGCATCAAATTGCTCCCTCATAAGGGAGTTTGTGGGATTGAGCCTTAGTAGAGACGATATTGACTCTTGAGTAGTTATAAACAGATGTTGTAACGATGAGTACTTGTTTTGTATCTCAAAAAATTTGTAATATACCAAAAAAAATGATACCATACACCCTACCCTTCTTAAAGTTAGACCATTTCTATACATGCTCCTTTAACATATGAGCATGTATAAAAATACCCTACATTATATTCAATAAAATTAAAAACATAATCTTTTTAAAAAATAGCACTCAACAAAGAAAATAGTTGTAGAATAACTAACCTCCTCATCATGGAACAAAGCTCTCTAGAGTCTCTACTCTTTACTCATTTTGTTTTCTTACTTTCAGACATCTCATAGTTGCACACCAATCAACCTCAAATGGCTTTGTTAATGGAATCTGGGGTGAGTTGGGATGCACGGATGAACTAGCTAGCCAGTCATTTCAATGTTTGAAGATCTTTAAGGTATAGAAATGTTGAGTAGTTGTGTGAATATTTGTTTTTACTTGTGTGTATATATATACAAACACTATAATACATGCTGTGTAAATAATCATCACAAAGCAGCCAGAATTCGAACTGTAATAGGGTAGCCAAGAGAAACAGCAGAGAAGTAGGATAACGAAGAGACGCAATAATCATATATTATACAAACTGTAAAAAAGCAAGTTCATTTTAAATTATTTATCTCATCAGCATACTTCAATTCATGCCTTATTGATATTTAATCGAAACAAATGATGATTTTGAACATATATATACAACATAATATCAAGAATGTTAAGATCTCATCTGGGTCGAGAAAGAGATGGAACCTTGCTTTAGCAAATTCACTTTGAACATATATAATCTTGGCAAAACATCATCTGCTAGATGCCACCATTGCTATGTTTAGTTTGCTTTATCTGGTTGCGATCATCAGGGGGATAGATATTGAGCTTGAATCTCGGGTGGAGTCCCCCTTTTTCCTTTACTTCCTTCTCTTTCTCTTGCTTTATCGTTATGATCTTCAGAGCTGAGTGTGCAGCAGTAGGGTTGGTATGATTCAGTTCCATCTCTTGAAGGCTGTCTATTTCTGCAAAGCTAAGTGGGACTTCCACGAGCATAAGGCATTGTCTAAGAATGAGAGTCTTTAGTAATGGGAAGTGGAGGTTAGAAGCCTTCCATGACTTCAAATCTGTCCTCTCAATTCGCAAGAACTGCAGACGTTTAAACCCGCCTTTGGATGGCTCCCACTCCTCTCCTTCGAATGCATTATCCACCAATTTCAGGATTTCGAGATACTCCAGGGATCCCAATACACACAATTCACTCCATCCCAGCTGGGTATTGGACAAGGTCAGCTTCCTAATATTTTGTGGAAATTCATACTTCTGAGGGAGGCGCTGCAACTTCCCACCATGGTTCAACAGCTTCAGTTTCTCCAAAGATTTCAATTCTCCGAGGCTTTTGAACAAACTAGACCCAGTATCCTTGTTGGTTTCAAAAAGCTTGGCCAAATTTCCTTGTATACCCAAGTTATTCAAATTTGGAGCTTTGGCCAGTATAGCTGCCGTGCAGCTTTCAGGTGAAATCCTTGAAAGTGTTTGCAAGTTTCTATTTGGAAAAGGATCTTTCTTGGTCTTGGAGGGAGAAGGTGGAGGCAATTGGGCAGATGAATTTGTTTGCAAGTGCCTCAATCGTGTCATTTGCCATATGTCTCCTTTTATATCAATGGTACTTTGTGTCGTTCTAACTATAAGAGTCTGCATGCTCCGCAGTTCATTAATGGCTTTGGGAAGGATCTTGAGGGTAGTTGATATTGCAATGTACCTTAAATGGAATAATTTGGTCATGTCTTTAGGAAAACATGTGAAGATGATAGATTCATCTGGTGCAGTGTGTAACACCCTTAGCAGCGGAAATGCGTGGCGAATGATTGGAATTTTTTCTGCAGGGAGTTCGAATTTATTCGAGGAGAAGCATAACAGAGAGCGGACATGCTCAGCAGCCTGATATGAAGAGAAGAACTCCAAAACATCGCACTGGACACTAAGGCGGCGGCAAGTATCTGCTTGCCTGCTCTGGACCTGCTTCATTTTATCTTCAAATATTTTCTCTGCTCGAGCCTCCTTCTTGCAAAACTCGTGCAACATGTCATGAATGCGACAAGTTTTGATGTGTCCATTTGACTTCCTTTGCGTTGCCATCACCAAACTCCTATTGACAAGATCGCTCAATTTTTCATAAGCTATGTCCTCCAAGGTTAATAATTGTTCCTCTTCCTCGATAAAACCTTCAGCAATCCACAACTTAATGAGTTTTCCTGCCGGGATCTCATTTCCTTGAGGAAAAGCCCCGAAATAAAGGAAGCAACTCCTCAGGTCGTAAGGCAATTGATTGTAACTCATCCTTATTAGGTTCTCGTAACTCCTCAATCCCATTTTGAAGAAGTCACTCATGCTCTCCGCTACCTTGTCCCATGCAGCACTCGTATTTGGTTTACCTATGAGAATACCCGCAATTATTACTATTGCCAGTGGCAGTCCATCGCATTTTTTAGCAATGATTTGCCCAGACTTTTTTAACTCATCGGGACAGCTTTCCTCTTGGAAGACCTTCTTCAGGAGTAGCTCCCAGCTCTCGTCTTCACTTAAGAATTTTAGCAGTTTTAGTTTATAAGGGCCACCTTTAGAATTGGCATGCATAGCCACAACATTGTGCCGTGTAGAAACCAATACCCTGCTTCCATTGTTCTTTGGGAAAGCAATTTTGAGCTTATGCCAATCTTCTACTGTCCACACATCATCCATTACAATAAAATACTTTTCTGAACCCAAATATTTACATATTTCCTTTGCTAAATCCTCGTCAGTCATGTCATCCGGGTAGCTTTTGGACAGCTTGCTTAACTCCTTGAGTATCCTTAGAAAAATATCCCTTCTTTTGTATACTCCACAAGCATAAATCCAAGCACGATTCTTGAAGTAACATTTAACTTTTTCATCCTTGAACACCTTGTTGGCTAAAGTGGTCTTGCCCAGTCCTGGCATACCCGTAATCGAGATAACTTCATGCCCTTCTGATCCACCAATCAGACGTTCAATTATAGCATCAGCTTCGCCATCAAACCCCACCACGTATTCTTCTTCCACAATAGGAATCTATTTTGGGAAGTGAAAAATAAAATTGAAGTCTAATTTTGAAAGGTTAAATTTGTTAGTCAATATCGTCTCAATTATTTTATCGTGTTATAAATTATTTTCCCTCAATGTGTAAATTAATCAATTTAAACACTGTTTGGAACAACTATTAGAGTGGTGAGAGTGTTTCACTGCTCCAAATGTGAAAAAATAACTACTTGGTTGCCCTGCTTTTAGAGTGGTGCATTTGGTAAAATGCACAACCCCAAAAGCCATAGTTCAAATTTCCATTCGACCCTCTAATGTGAACATTTAGGAGGTGTTTGGAGACAATCTCCCAAAAAAAAAAAAAAACTCTTATTAATTAAATTTTATATTAAGAAATTGAGGAAATGGTCAAATAAGTTATACAACTATATATTAAAAATTGAGAAAATGACAGTTTTAGTCCATTAGTTACGTCTAAATTGTAGACTCAGTTCATAAATTATTGCTCTATACAACTTTTTCCTTTTAATTATGTTGAAAGTGGTTGTTTCAATCCATTACTTATAAATTTTGTTAACATTAAAAATTTATTTTGATTTGCCAAATTATTAGAGGACAAATTGATCATTTTGTAAAATTTTTCCAAGTATAAAAAATAATTATTAGTCTCTTTATATATTTTATTTCCCACACTTTGAAAAAATATATAATATGAATTTCTATATTACACTCACATATCTTTATTACTCCGTATGTAAGAACAATTGTGTTACGGATTATTTTCAATAATTTATTTTCTACAAATTAATAATATAACCAATATTTCAAGTAATTTTTTCATAAAATTTAAATTCAAATTATTCTCAATTCTTTTTAATAAACTAAATTAGTTGTTAAAAATTGTTTATCAGGAACATAGTTCTCAAAATTTTTATTGCATTATGATTTTAATCATGTCACATTGCAATTAATTTTGCTTTCTAATCACTCATTATTTTTTTTGGTGGGGTTTCTAATCACTCATTATGAGAAGGTCAAAACTAGAACATAATTAAAACCCAAAAATTTTTTATACTTGAATTAAACAATTAAGAATTAAATTTATTATTATATAATAATAGAGAAAATTCATCTCATATTTTCGTGTAATCAACATTACTATAAATAAACTCAACATTCACTTGAAGTCATCAATTATTTTCGTACCAAAATTGATCATACCGGTTACCCCTCGAACTAAAATATGCTAGAATATATAATTTGTACAGATATTTTTGTCCATTCATATATTAATGGAATTGGCAAATTTATAATGATTTGACAGAAATACCCTTACAAATTACACAATTAACATGTTTTATCCGGAGGAATGACATGTGTGATTAATTTTGGCACGAAAATAATAATCGGGATTTGTGGATGAAAATTAGTATTAATTGACCATGTGGATTAAAACGGTCATTTTGTTGATACTTGTGGGATGGAAATTGTATTTGCTAACAAAAATTGAGAGAGAAGTTTGAGTGAACGGACCTCAATTTGCCTGGGTCCTCTGTTGGGTAACGCTTCATCTCGGAGAAGATGGAGGTCAAAGGCCGGGTCCTTTCGGATACTTTCCATGCTGCTCCGGATCATCTGAATATCTTTGGCGAGTTCCAATTTTCGACCCGGGTGTTCGATATCCAGATAGCGCTTCCATTTGTTGTCGTAGTGGGATCTGGTGGCCACCACATATTTGTCGATGATATCCTCCGCCTTGTTAACTACGTTTCGGATCTTTGCGATGAGGCGCTTGAGGATGTCGTTGTCGTAGCAGACCTTTCCGGCTTCTTTGAGGAACGCCTTGAAGTCGCCTAGGTCATCTAGAAGCTTCTCGACGTCGTCCTTGAGGCCGGAGATGAGCTGGATGTTCTCTTTTAGAAGCTGGGTTAAGTTCTCTGCTAGCAAATTCACCACTTCTGCCATTTCTAAAGCTTTTTTCAGTTTTCAGCTCAAAAACCTTTTATTCTTTTTAGTCTACCAAAGGAGTTGACTTCATTTCTTAATCTATATATCTCCAATTCTCCATTACCTCTATACCCATAGGTCATAGCCCATAGGTCCCATAATATTAAAACCTGCTTATTATTATTATTATTATTATTTAATTTTGAAATAAAGTGTAAATTGGTCACTGAAAAAAATGTAATTAGGTCATTGAACACCCCAAATATAAGTCATCCTTCCATCAGGTTGTCTGCTCTTCGTCTCACACCACCCCCTTCTCCGGTTCTCCCGAGGAGGGGGCCGGAAAGGAGTGCGCCCTTTTTTTTTTTAAGTTTATTATTAAAAAATAACTCACCATCCACGTAAAGCAAATAACTTGATAAAATTGATTGTAACATGTTATCTGGTGAAATTGCATACATTTGAGGTGTTTAGTGGGTTAATTGCATTTTTTTTCTTAGTGGCCTAATTGCATTTTCAAGTTAGGTGGTGACTAATTTGGACATTATTCCTTTAATTTTTTAAAATTTTTTAAAAAGAAATGTTAAAAGTAGGTCTAATGGTATCCGGGTTGGACTTCCATTTGGAAGATTGTGAGTTTGAGCCTAAGTAGGTTGAGAAAATATATGAACAGGATACTATCAGTAGCTATAAACTTCATTTTTTTAGGAATATAAACTTTATTTGTTTTAATTAAAGTTTATAAATGATAAAGTATATATTTATATTTGTTTATGGAATTGTGAGGCATATTTGTAATATATATATATATATATATATATATATATATATATATATATATATATATATATATATATGGGCTGCCCGAGTTGTCCTCATATCGACCTCGTCTTGCAAAACAGTCACACGTTTTGGAGGATTTTCGGCGCGAATTCGATGGTGCAAGTTGGGGGAAACGTGATGTGTTTAGGTTTTGTGGACGGCGGGGTGGAGATCAGACGTCGATCGTAATCAGTTCGTAACTCCTTTTCCAGCAAACAATGTGCACCAATTTCAACTTCACATTGGGTGATGTTTAATTGCAGTATTGAAGTTTTCTTCCTCCGAGTTGTCGGTCGTGGGTTCGACGTTGTCTGCGCAGAGAAGGTCGTCTTCGTTGTGGGGAAGGTTTGCAGAAAAGGCAGCTACAGCTTGGGCGGCCATGAAATGGTTTTGGCAAAGGTTGAGCAGGAGTTTGGTTTTATGAAGAGAGAAAGAGTGGAGATGTGTTTGAATGTCACGAGGAGGCAATGAGAAGAGCTGAATCAGCTGAGCAACCCATTACCGCCTTTGAGCGGATGAATGAACCACTATGCATTTCTCCTGTCAATGAGAAACGCAAGTGGTATTTGCGTCAAATGCCACTTGCGTTTGTGGTTTGACCCGCGAAATAAAATATTGTTGAAAATTAATAAACTCAAGTGTCACTTGCATTTCTGACATATATATACTAGTTGAGGGCGCGAAACGTCATGTCCAACAATCAATTAGTATGTTCTTATTTTTTATTTTTTATTTTTAAAACGAGTATATTCTAATTTTTAAATAATAATAATATATATAATTTTTAATAATTGTTATATGACAAAATAAATAAGAATACATAAATAAGTTATTTAGATACCAACATGATATACAATAATTGAATTAGGAACATGCGGGAGGACATTATAGATTTGGTTTTGAGGGAAAGAATGGAGATGTTAGCTAGAATAATGTAGTGGCTTTCTAAAAAAAATGAAATGTTGGAATGTGTTAAAAAAAGAAGACAAAAGATCACATCAAGACAAAAGAGGAAGAAGACAAAAAAGTAATGGTAAAATTGTTATTTCTTTAAAAATTGAGGGCAATTAAAATGAAAAAATAAATAAAAAATTAGATCAAAAAATTTCATCCATTAAATTTGAAATCAATGGTAAGCCAGGGTGCCATTTGTTAGGGGCAAATAACAACTCCCAAATATAAGTGTATGGGATATATATATATATATATATATATATATATATATATATATATATATATATATATATTGTACAACTTTTGAGAGCTTCCCAATTCTCATTCTTGTCGATTTTTCAAGGAAATTGACCATTTCAGTAAATAAGGATCTTGCTGGTGGAATCGGGGTCGGAGTTGGGACCGAAGGAACACCACGCGGGTACCTCATCTCCCTCTCATCATTCGACATGTGGATTGATGGATGGACAGAACCCACAGAACTCCCGAGAGTTTTGACGACTTAGAGCATCCACATTAGTTGGGAAGAATGTGGGGATAATGTAAGAGTGATTAGGAAAGAGAATGGGGGAGGGGAGAGGAAAAAAAAAAGAGAAAATTGATTATTTTTTAAAAAAAAAAAAAAATTAATGCTGTCAGGCACGCCAGCCTGACGCACCACCGGGCGCGTGCACGCGCCCGGCTTTTGCCCAGGCGCTGCGCGAAACGCGCACAGCCTTACTTCTTCTTTTATTTTTATTTTTATTTTTAATATTTCAGACATTATGCCTTCATTTGCAGGAGAATTATTTTTGAATTATCTCCATCCCACATTAGCTATTAACTCTAGTTGGAAAGAATTCAAACTGAAATAACTCCATATTATCCACTAGTGTGGATGCTCTTAGCTATTCACGGAGATAAGGCGGGAGTGACTATTAAATGATGAAAAAATACTTCATGGATCCCAAAAACTTACTCTTAATTTTTACTTCTATTTGTATTCAAATTTGATTTGAGAAACAACATGAACTCCTATTAAATTGAGCAATCAAAGCATGTCAAATCATAATAAGTAAGAAATGAGAATACAGGTAGAATTACTCTAAATGATGAGCATAAATGAGTTGAACATCTAGTTTATACATAAAGTATCTACTCCAAATTCGAGGAGCATTAAATGATGAGCATTCAATTCAAACATGATGAACAAGGTGTTTGGTGGGATGTAATTGAAATTCTTTTATAACGAAAATCAACACCCATCAAAATTACATTGTTTGGTTGGAGAGAATTGCAATTCACTCTTTTTATGGAATTACAATTCATAAGTCTCTCTCTCCATGAATTGCAATTCAACACGAGGTGGAAAGGAAAAAAAGATGTGAATGACAAAATTATCTTGGTTATTACTGTTGATTTTAGAGTTTTTGGGCCCAGGGAGGTCCAACACAACCGTGGTTGGTGGATTCACCTTTCAAAATAAACCTTATGAACTTAAAGAAATTAGACACAATGATTTTGACATGGAAACCGAAAGGTGAAAAGCACAGGTCTTTTTGGGCGGTGTCAAACCTAAATTCACTATTCTGTATGATCATTTGTACAAGTTGTATGGCTATTTTCGTATATGTAATGTTGTGTAGAGATGAAGCTACTTTGAGAGGGAATATTTTTCTTGATCTTCTTTGTTGAAAGAATGTGGATGATGAGGTCTTCTTGTTGAGGGGAAGGATGGGGGAGTCTTATCCCTTTGGAAGTATGATGAGTCTTCTCATGTGTATAGATGAATGGAGTCTTCTTGCGAGAGTGGTGTAGGAAGAATGCTTTGAGAGAGTGAATGTGGAAGAGTCCCCGGCCCCCATGAGAGAGTGGATGAGATGCCCCCTACTTTGTGCTCTTTGAATCTTCTTTTATAGTAGTAAGATTAGATTATAGTCGTTGGTAATTAGTAAGGAATTTATAGGTAGTAAATAGGTGTCTAATAGGACTTTATGAGTAGATAATTGGGGGGTTAGGAATTGAGAGGTAATAATATGGACATTTAGTAGAGGTTAACGGCTAGTTTAATTTGAGTTCAGGTGGGCTAATCGGGGCTAGGCGGTCCAACTAGACCCAAATATTGGGTATCCATCAATTACTATTATTACTATTATTATATTATATTATTACACAATAACATTTTAGTATGCATATCACTTCTTTCTTTCACATCACCGATAATTTTATTCCTTCTACAAAACAATGTAATTTGAATTCTTACTTTATTCACACGTTATTTGTTTCCCACCGAATTACAATCCTTTTCCCTCATAATTCTCTCATTCCACCAAACGCCCTGTTAGTTCAAATCTGCTCGAGGCTTAGAGTATCCCCAAAAGTGTTTTTTGCCATGTTTTTGGAGCAGTAAAAAACAATGTTGAGGGTTTTGGACAAATAAGAAGCTTGGTTTTTCATTAGACTTTTCTCTTGCAAATACCTTAGTTTTTGCATGAGAAAAAAAACGCCAAAAGGCGTGCTTGGAACGCATTGCGTGCCCGAGCGAGCGCGTGTTTCCCACGCGCTCGCTGGGCACTTCAGACGGCGGCCACTCTGAATAAAAAATCGTTGCTGCTCCCATTTATTTATTTTTAATTTTTATTTATTCAAAAATTTTTTCTTTTTCTTTTTCCCCTTTATTTTTTCTCCCTCTTCTCTCTCCTAAGTGGCACCTCAAAAAATCACAAAAAATTAAAAGACAATTAGAGATGCTCTTAGCTAGTAGGGTGAACCTTGTCAGACTAAAGTTTTGGAAGTGGTTTCAAGATAAACAATTGAATGTTAGTTTGATTTTGAAACTAGCCTGATAGTCTGAACTATTTAATATTATTCTTTGTCTCGTAAGTGATGTAAAATAAAATACTTGTAGTTTATATGTAAGTTTATCTTTAGTATTTTTTATTAAATTTGTAAATAATATTTTTAAAAATATATTAATAAATTTATTATAAAATAAAATATTTCATGATAATAAATAATGAAAATAAAAAATCTCATTATAATTATTATATTATAGTATAATTATATCAATTTTTTTTGAAGGGGTATAATTATATCAAATAATTTTAGTTAAAATTTGGAAATGAATATTTAGATTAATTGAATGATGTATATGTTTATATTTAGTAGTTGATAAATGTATTAGTTTATTATGAAAAATTGAATAAATTTTATGAGAGATATGGGTAAAACTAATAATAAGTTGGGAAAATGACCAAATAGACTCTTGAACTTTACTCAAAAATGTAAAGGTCCTCAAACTTTTTAAAAGTGCAATTAAACGCTCAAACTTGTCATTTTGGGGCGTCTAAACTCAGTAGCCGATAATTCACATGAAATAATCGGTCATATTTAAAATTCCGGTGAATAAAAAATTTCGACGACGATAAAATTTTTAAAAATAAAATAATCAGGGCCTTCTGAACCGGAGAAAAGCGGCCGATCGTCTTCTCCGGCGGAGAAGGCGACCAGATCTGGTCGTCTTCTCTATTGGAGAAGGCGACTAGATCTGGTCGCATTTTCCAATGGAGAAAATGACTTCTCCCAGAGAAGAAGACCGGACGTCATCTTCTGCCGAAAAAGACGACCAGAAATTGTATTTCCAGTGGAATTTATTTTTTTTTTCTTTTTTTTTTTTTTAGCGATAAACATTGATTAGAGACGGTCAATGTCAATAATTTACCGGTAAAAATTCAAGAGTCTAATTGCAGTTTAAGGGTCTATTTAAACATTTTTCCTAATGAGTTTAATATTTTAAAAAATTAAATTAAAAATAACTGGTCTCCAATCACAATCAACACATAAAATGAAATGAGATTGAAGGTAGGAATATTATTAAGAATATTGATATGGTTAACACATTTGAAGTAATCAAACATTGTGGGAGTAGATAGAAGTAGAGAATAAGAAATTAAGCAAGTCAACTCAATAATCGGACTAAAGAACCTTTGAGCTGGCAATGGCTTCCTCTACTACTACTACTGAGAATCTTTGAGCAGAAAACGAGGTCTAGAGAGAGAGAGAGAGATGGCGGAAGTGGTAGTGAATTTGCTGGTAGAGAACTTGACCCAGCTTCTGAAAGAGAACATCCAGCTCATCTCCGGCCTCAAGGACGACGTCGAGAAGCTTCTAGATGTCCTGGGCGACTTCAAGGCCTTCCTCAGAGAAGCCGGAAAGGTCCGCTACGACAACGAAATCCTCAAACGACTCATCACCAAGATCCGAGCGGTGGTCAACAAGGCCGAGGATCTCATCGACCGATATGTGGTGGCCGCCAAATTCCACTACGACATGAGATGGAAACGCTATTTGGATTTCGAACACCCCGGTCGGAAAAAGGAACTCGCCGAAGAGATTCGGAATGTTCGGGAAATCATGGATAAGATCCGGCAGGATCCGAATTATGACCTAAATGTTCTCCGAGAGGAAGCGTTACCCAACAGAGAAGCCGGCCAGGTTAAGGCAAGTCAACTCCTCTCTCTCTCCATCCTTCTCTCTTTCTTTCTTTTTTTATTATTTATTAATGTTTTCTAAAAGTTAATTAAATATTTTCTCATTACATGTTACAATCAGTTAATTATTCAAAGGTCCTTTCACTATAGCGAAATTACAAATTTGGCCATTGATTATTTTTTTTATTAATTAGTTTCCTCAACTTTAAAAATCTTAACCAATTTGGTCAACCGTTTAATTTACCGTTAGACATCCGTTAACTCATAACTAAATTGGTAATTTTGCATAGTCAAAGAACCATTTCGGTCATCATATGCACCATTTCTTTCGAAAAGTTATTTACGAAAATGATCCCTAATTATAACGAAATTATCAATTTGGTCCCGAATTAATGGATGTCTAACGGCAAAACGAATTGAGGATCAAATTGGTTAAAAATTTTAAAATTGAAAGACTTAATTGGTCAAAAAAATAATTAAGGATCAAATTGATAATTTTGCTATAGTCATGGGACCATTTCGATAATTAACTCTGTTACAATATTTGCATATACCAGTATTTCTTAATAAATCATAAAAGAATTAATTTGGTAAGAAAAGTTTGTCCACATTCCGATTATTCATAGGGAAAATGTCAATGGTAGTTAAGTTGTAGTACCAAATATTATACTATCGATTGACTCTCTTGTCCGTCTCACGGATCCTTATCCATGGTCATAAAACGGGTTGGATCAAAATGAAAATATAATCAAGAATAAAGTGTTCTTCACTTATAATAGAAAAATATAATACTTTTTTGAAAAAAAAAATGTAATGCTTTTAAATCAAAATGTAAAATTATTATATTTTTTTTCAAAAAAATCTTAGTAAAAAATGCTTTATTGCTGATTAGTCTTATGTTTTTCAGTATATATATTGTATTTTGATATTGATACAATTTTACACAAGTTTTTGTCTATACCATCTTGGGGCTAGCAACCTCAACTAAGTTAGTTAAATTTTTGACTTGGTAATTACAGTATTACAAGTTCTACTCTTAGCAGTGGCAGCCTATTGACTTTCTTAATTTTTGAGTCAGTCTTTGCCAGTTAAGGTCACAACCCTCGGATAGTGGCTCCAAGTGTTACCAAAAAACATCAATTGTGTTTGAAGTAGTGTATACATAATATAACCTGTTTGTATCAACTCTTCCAAAAACTTCTTTGGCTGTTAAACTTTAAGAATGAATCTGATATAAATAAAGATGGTATATTGTGCTTCCTGCCTTCCTGCCATTCTGTTCCCAAATTATATCACAATTCACAACTGACCATTTTCCCCGGCCAATTCGTGTAAAGCTTATTCTTCTCTGTTTGTGAAATAGGTTCCTACTGTGGAGGAAGAGCACGTGGTGGGGTTTGATGGCGAGGTTAATGCTATAGTGAAACGTCTCACTGAGGGAGAAGCGTTTGAAGTTGTCTCGATTGTGGGCATGCCGGGACTTGGCAAGACTACATTGGCGAACAAGGTTTTCAAGGACGAAAGAGTTGAATATCACTTCATGCATCGTGCTTGGATTTATGTCTCTGGAGTATACAAAAGACGGGATGTTTTTCTAAGAATATTGAAGGAGTTAAGGCAAGATGCTCCACACACACCTATTCTGATGACATGACTGATGAAGATTTAGCCAAGGAAATCAAGAAATTTTTGAAGGAAGCAAAGTATTTTATTGTTATGGATGATGTTTGGACCGTCGAAAACTGGGATGAACTCAAAATTGCTTTCCCCATGAACAATGGGAGCAGGGTTTTGGTTTCGACACGCCACAATGTTGTGGCTATGCATGCCAATTCTAGAGGTGACCCTCATGACCTAAAGTTTTTAACTACGGATGAAAGTTGGGAGCTACTTCAGAAGAAGGTCTTCCGGGAGGAAAGCTGCCCTAGCGAGTTAAAAAGGCCCGGGGAAACCATTGCTAAAGAATGCGGTGGACTTCCACTAGCAATAGTGATTATAGCTGGTACTCTCTTAGGTAAACCAAAAACGAGTGGGGCATGGGACAAGGTAGCTGAGAGCATCAGTGACTTCATGAAACTGAAACTACAAAGCTACGACTACCTAATGCGAATGAGTTACGACCAATTGCCTTATGACCTTAAGAGTTGCTTCCTTTATTTCGGGGCTTTTCCTCGAGGAAATGAGATTCCAGCCGGAAAACTCATTAGGTTGTGGATTGCTGAAGGGTTTATTGAGGAAGAGGCACAATTGTTAACCTTGGAGGACATAGCTCATGAGAAGTTGAGTGATCTTGTGAATAGGAATCTGGTGATGGCTATGCAAAGAAAGTCGAATGGACAAATCAAAACTTGTCGCGTTCATGACATGTTACATGAGTTCTGCAAGAACGAGGCCAAAGAGGAGATTCTATTCGAAGAAATCAATACGAGCAGGCAGCTAGATACTTGTCGCCGCCTTTGTGTCCAGTGCAATGTTTCCGAGTTCCTCTCTTCAAATCTTTCTGCTGAGCATGTCCGTTCTTTGTTATGCTTCTCCTCGAGCAAATATGAACTGGCTGCAGAAAAAATTCAGTTCATTCGCGAAACATTTCCACTCCTAAGGGTGTTACACACCGCACCAGATGAATCCATCATTTTGACACGATTTCCTAAAGACATGACTAAATTGTTCCATTTAAGGTACGTTGCAATTTCGACTACCCTCAAGATCCTTCCTCAAGCCATTGATAGCCTGTGGAACATGCAAACTCTTATAGTTAGGACAACGCAAAGCACCCTTGATATCAAAGGAAACATATGGAAAATGACACGATTGAGGCACGTTCAAACAAATTCATCTGCTCAATTGCCTCCACCTTCCTCGAAGAAAGATCCGTTTACAAATAGAAACTTGCAAACACTTTCAAGGATTTCACCTGAAAGCTGCACGGCAACTGCACTGGCTAAAGCTCCGAATTTGAATAACTTGGGTATACAAGGAAATTTGGCTAAGCTTTTTGAAACCAACAAGGATACTGAGTCCAGTTTGTTCAAAAACCTTGGAGAATTGAAGTTGTTGGAGAAACTGAAGCTGCTGAATCATGGTGGGAATGTGCAACGCCTCCCTCAAAAATATGAATTTCCCCAAAAGATTAAGAAGCTGACCTTGTCCAATACCCACCTCGAATGGACTGAATTATCTATATTGGGATCACTGGAGTACCTTGAAGTTCTGAAATTGACCGAAAATGCATTCAAAGGAGAGGAGTGGGAGCCATCCAAAGGTGGCTTTCCTTGTCTCCAATTCTTGAGAATTGAGAGGACAGATTTGAAGACTTGGAAGGCTTCTAGCCTCCACTTCCCGTTACTAAAGAGTCTCATTTTTAGACAATGCCATAATCTGGAGGAAGTCCCACTTAATCTGGCGGACATAGACAATCTTCAGGAGATGGAGCTGAATCGTACCAACCCAAATGCTGCACAGTCGGCTTGGAAGATTTTACAAATAAAACAAGTGAAAGAGAAGGAAGTAAAGGAGAAAGGAGGAAACCCCCGGAGATTCAAGCTTAATATCTATCCTCCTGATGAGCTCAAACTTATACAGCAAATTTAAAAATGCCATGGTGTCATCTAGATGATCTTTTGAGTTGTGCAGGTAAGTTAAAAATCTCTTCTTTTTTCCTTACATACTTGGTAAGTGAACTTTTATTTATTGGTTGGCAAATTATATTCATTCAAAATGAAGTGGCTAAAGCATGTTCTCTTTTTCCATGTCTGCATATATTTAGGTGAACTGTATTGGTCTAAGCGTGGGTTTGTGAAGGGCATGAACTGAGGACATTTGTATGCAGATGAGATGGTAGCATTCTGGTGTGGTCTACCCAATCATTGGTTTGGCAAAATTCTTTGTGCTTTGTTTTGTGTGGTGAGAGCTTATGTTTTTGGGGATTCAATTTGTTATTTGTGGTGGTTGTTATTCATTGTGGATTTGGAACACATTGGAACTATGGTCAAGATGTTTGCATTTCTGTTATTTCCACTTGTTTGTTTATTTATGGATCTTCATTTCCTTTCCTTTCCTTGGGTTGCCTTTATGATTACACTACAACTATGTTAATAATTTCATCAAGGGAGACTGGGAGAGTGTGTCTCCATTTTCTACTTCTTTAGTTCTTTGTCAAGAGTTTTATCATGGCAATTTTGGATTTTTCAGTTCTACTGCTCTAGTCCGAGTGAGTTTATCAACATTTATTTCCTTTATCCTGAGAGTCAGGGAGGTGAGAGTCAATCTTAACCTACGAATTACGAACTTGTAAAGAATTGCACCATAATTACTATATAATTGTACTGCTATGGCAACTGGATATGCTTGGAGGATCTTGCGATGCAAATGAGCAATCATATCCGGGTGCGATGCAATATCAATTAAATAAAAGGTTATTTTATGTATCAATCCTTACATCTCCTACAACTGGTGGAGTAACAACCAGTTTTGGTATGTTAGGGGATGTTATCATTGTCGAACCCAATGCTTACGTTGCATTTGCGGGTAAAAGAGTCATGGAACAAACATTGAATCAAACAGTACCTGAAGGTTCACAAGAAGCTGAATATTTATTCGAGAAGGGTTTATTTGACTTAATTGTACCACGTCATCTTTTAAAAAGCATTCTGAGTGAGTTATTTGAGTTCCACGCCCTTTTTCCTTTGAATCAAAATTCAAATCAAGTAGAGCGTTAAGTTCAATTATTTTATTTTGATTTGTAGCAAAGAACAAGTAAATGTAGTGCAATCCTTCATAAGTTTGCAGTTCGCATGTTAAGGTTGGTTTTCACCTGATTATGGACCGAGAGGGAAAATATTGCAATTAAGTTTTGTTTTTTGTTTTTTGTTTTTTGTTTTTTGTTTTTTTTTTTTTTTAAATCATTTGAGCATAAATTTGGATAATAGTTACTTGGGATGCAGCAGACATGATGAAGAAGGTAGAAAGAAGAAAAAAAAAAATCTCAGTTAGAGAATTGGCTCTTGATACCATGTAAGAGCTGAATGGGACAAGTTTATTCATCTCAAGACATCAGAATATATAGAATACAATTCAGAGGAAGTGGAAGCTAGTTACAACCAAACCAAAAGAATAGGCCTACGATTACTAACAATAAACTACTAAGTCTTAACATTATGTATTTGATATCCATAGTCATAGAACATACATAGATACATATACATACAATTTGACATATAACTACATGTATTTACCATTTCAAAGCATCATGGTTCATATAGAGCCTAACTCATATACAAGAATTGAGAGAATAAATAAAAATAATATGTATTTACAAATTCATGTATTTACCCAAATTTTTAACCATGTCTTGATGAGGGGTTCATCACTCAAAAGTTGTTAACAAACATGAAGAATAATCACTCATTTCATAAAAACAACAATTGAAGGTTCCAAACTCATAGCCATATATACACATAATATTTATATATAAACAATGTCATATGATTCAAAAAAACAAAATGCACAAGAAAATGAACCAATAGTACCGTTCACCGGAGATTACAATAGAGACTCGTGCTGATAACGTGTTGTAATTTGACCTATCAACTAGCTTAGTTCTCGCGCGATGTTTGCACGGTACTGCTTCGTGATTCTATGTATATGAGTATATAGAATAGATAAGTAAAAAGGAGATGAAGAACACAATTTCATAAGATCATCTTTTCATTAAGCTTTCACTCTCAATTTATAGGGACCATTACAACCTTTCACATGCTCATCATAATTCATGTAATAAGTAAATGCTAAGAAAATGTCTCAAGTTTAATAGCCATAATAATAACATATTTATAATAGAATGATGTATACGTTCATATTAGTGGTTAATAAATGTGCTAGTTTATTAAAAAAAAATTAAATAAATTTTATAGGAGTTATGGATGGAACTAATGAGCAAATACTAATTTTAGTCTCACGAGTATTAGCAAAATGACAATTTTGATCCACATATTTAATTTCTACCATTTTTTATCTACGACTATTGTTTTAGTACAAATTTTCATCCACGACTATTGTTTTAGTGGCAAAATACATCACGCTGATCATTCCTCCTTTTAAGATATGCCGAAATCTAAAATTTTAAGGTATTTTTGTCCATTTTTCAACTTAAGATCTTAATTTAAGCATTAATAAAGGAATTTAAGCCCTAAGATCGATCTCATTTCGTATTTCTCATCCTCATCCCATCTTAATTTTAGAAGGAGAACTACGAATTGGGATCGATCTTAGAGCTTAAATTCCTTTATTTATGTTCAAATTGAGATCTTAATTTGTAAATGATGAAAATACCTTAATAATTTCATATTTCAGCATGTCTTAAAAAAATGGGTGACCAACGTGATAAATTCTGGTACTAAAATAATAGGTCTGGACGAAAATCTATACTATATATAAAAACAAAATCCTGAAATTTTAACTTTCCGCCCAATTCCTAAAAAATCTCCCTTCCTAATAAAATATATTGATTTCTACTTTCCCATTCGTACAATAATTCTGCGTTAAAATTCTATTCTAATAATATAAAATAGTGTAATACAATCTATACTATATATAAAAATAAAATCTTGAAATTTTAACTTGCCGCCCAATTTCCAAAAAATCTCTCTTCCTAATAAAATATATTGATTTCTACAATAATTCTGGGTTAAAATTTTATTGTAATATTATTAAATTGTGTAATACTATTTCTATTCTAATCTATATCTATTTTATATATCAGTGTTGCAAAAATCGTGTCGCTGGCCGCGGCGAGGAAGGCCAGAATCGGCCTCCTCAGCGGCCGCCTCGCCGGCTGAACCGGCCTTTAATTTTTATTTTTTTTTTTAAGTTCTAAAAGTTCGGCAAGGCATAACTTTTGACTCCGTTGTCCGTTTTGGACAAATGTTTTTTTGAAATCACGTATTTTTTCGAGATCTATCCACCGCAAACGGCCGTAGGCGGTTTGGCCCACCAATTTCTAAAAAAAATACTTTATTAAAGAGTTTCTAAGAAAAAAACTATGAGAACTTTATGTTTTATTAATGAATTTTTAAAAGTTTTAATTAAACAATTGTCCCGTGCATTATTTAATAATCTTTCTTTATAATTGGTCAAATTATTTAATTATGGTAAATTTGGGAATAATTAATGATGGTAATAGAAATCCTAGAAGAATATAGAATTGAACAATATTTAATTATTGTTATATTATTATTGTGACTTACGGAATACAAGAGTTAATTTCATTTTGGTCCTAGACTTATTGGGGCATTGACACTTTTCATTCTCCATAATAAAAATTGCCACTTAGTAGCCACTGTTATTGATCGTTGGACAGTTTTGATCCTCCGTCAATGACGCCGTTTGTTGACCGTGAATTAGAAGGGTTTTTCTGTCTTTTTATGTTCTAATCCTTGTATTTCTCCATCCATTGGTCACTGCTACATCCATTTCTTCAAACTGAGGTTATCCGCTTCAGTCCTTTGTAACATTAAGAAACCATCTTCACCCAACTAACAATCACGAATTTTACATTTGACATCAATCTCAAGATAATGGAAACAAGTGCAGTTGGAATAGAAAGGGCGTTAGTCCATGCCTGTGGAAATTTGGTCGAGCATACAACATAACTAGCAAAGTCAGGAATATCACCCAACCCCTCCCTTAACCTTTCTGCATCAACTATAATAGGTATGCCCCTACTCTTTGCCTCCTGCACTACAATCAAAGCAGTCTCATGCAGCCTTCCATCTAAGTAGACAATATTTACTCCAAGCGCTGAAGACAATTTTGATTTGGGTATGTAGACCCTCAGATATCATGGGTGGATATCCTGGAGTGAAAATGCACGTGCGAGTTTTTTTTTTTTTTTTGGTTGTCAACAATGACATATGTGAATGGTGAGTTTCCTCCTTTGGACACCACCATAAAAGATGTATCAACACCATCCCTTTCAAGCTCATCAAGTATTCTTTCGCCATGCGAGTCATCAGCAACCTTAGATATGATCCTTGGATTAAGACCAAAACGAATTTTATCATCCGGGTTTTATCAAAACATTGCCAGTGTTACCACCTCCTTGAACCTCAAAGCTGGTGCTCCGAATTTTATCATCCGGGTTGGAGAATGAAGCTACAGCAGCCAGGAAGTCAACACCGGCCATTCCAACACCTCAGACAATGCGATTTTTGGGGAGCGGCTGATTCACGTAGAATAACAGAGTTTTTGAGGTTGTGCACCAAGTAGTTGTGGTCAGAGAGAGAGGGAGAGAGAGATGTGAAGGATATTTGTGGTCAATATGGAAGGGAGGACTTACAGGTGCAAATTCTACATCACGCCATCTACAACTACAACTGCTATTTACCATAGGATGGTTCGCCGACCTGCTGCCCTCTCTGCTTCGCCGGAACCAAAAACCACCGGTGAAGGCCCCAACCTCGCCGGATCTGTTGCTGCACCGCCAGATCTGCCCTACTGGTCCGTCGTCGGAAGGAGTTACTGCCTCGTATGTTCGCCGCCGTACCCACAACTCGCCGGAGAAGAACCTCGCTGCTACTCACTACCGACGGTTACTACTTAGCCGCCAAGTCTCGCTATCTCGCCTCACAGGAGTCACACCAGCGCTGGTCTAAACTAGATTAGAAGAATAAGACATTAAAAGACAGAAAAGCCATTCTAATTCACGGTCAACAAACGGCTTCATTGACGGAGGATCAAAACTGTCCAACGACCAATAACAGTGTCTACTAAGTGGCAATTTTTATTATGGAGGATGAAAAGTGTCAATGCCTCAATAAGTCTAGGACCAAAAATGGCATTAACTCCGGAATACAATACAAGAATATTTAATTATGGTTATATTATTATTGTGCCTCACGACCATTATATACTAACAGTACTTGAAAAGAAACTAATAATAATAATAATAATATAATAATAATAATATAAGTGGTAATAATAATATCTAAAAGTAATTAAGTGTTAATAATAATAGTAAGAATATTAACGTAAGAGTTATAACATAGAATAAATTGTAATAATTAATAACTATAGTGTAGGATTAAATTTGGAATTGTCAGGAAAGATAAACGACCTTTGGTGAAATTAACTCTTAAATAATTATATATCAATTTAAATATTCTTAATATATTACAACAATTCCATTCCGTGCATCGCACATGTGAAAGTACTAGTTGGTACTAAAACAATAGTCATGGATAAAAATTAATAAGAATTAAACATGTGGATCAAAAATGTCATTTTGCTAATAGTCGTGGGATCAAAATTAGTATTTGTTCGGAAATAATTCATAAACATAATATTATGAAAAAATAAATTAAAAATAATTACTCGATAACTAAAACTAACACATAAAATGAAATGACGATGAAGAAGAAGAAATATTATTAAGAAGGAAAATACTACATTTTTTATTCTTAATTTTTTTCTCTTATACAAAACCTTGATATAAACAAAATTGAGAGGTAAGATTTAGAAGGACATCCCTATTAAGAATATTGATATGGTTATCCCATTTGAAGTACTCAAACATTATGGGAGTAGAAGTAGAGTGAGAAAAAAAAAAAAAAAAGCAAGTCAACTCAGTCGTCGGACTAAAGAATCTTTGGAGCTGGGAAATGGCAATGGCTTCTTCTACTAGTATTGAGAATCTTTGAGCAGAAAACGAGGTGAGAGATAGAGAGAGAGATCGCTCGAGATGGCAGAAGTGGTAGTGAATTTGCTGGTAGAGAACTTGACTCAGCTTCTGAAAGAGAACATCCAGCTCATCTCCGGCCTCAAGGACGACGTCGAGAAGCTTCTAGAAGACCTGGGCGACTTCAAGGCCTTCCTCAGAGAAGCCGGAAAGGCCCGCTACGACAACGAAATCCTCAAACGACTCATCACCAAGATCCGAACGGTGGTGAACAAGGCGGAGGATCTGATCGACAGATATGTGGTGGCCGCCAAATTCCACTACGACAAGAAATGGAAACGCTACCTGGACATCGAACACCCCGGTCGGAAAAAGGAACTCGCCGAAGAGATTCGGAATGTTCGGGAAAGCATGGATGGGATCCGAAAGGATCCGAACTATGGCCTTAATGCTCTCCGAGATGAAGCGTTACCCAACAGAGGAGCTGTCCAGGCTAAGGCAACTCAACTCCTCTCTCTCTCTCTCTCTTTTTAATTAATGTTTTCTAAAAGTTAATTAAATATTTTCTAACGAATTGTCACAATATTTGCATATACGAGTATTTCTTAATAAATCATAAAAGAATTAATTTGGCAGGAAAAGTTAGTTTGTCCATATTCCGATTATTCACAGGGAAAATTGCAATGGTAGTTCAGTTGTAGTATCAAATATTATACCATCGACCAACTCTCCTCTAATCCTTATCCATGAGTCCCGAGGTCAAAATGAAAATATAATACTTATAATGATAAAATATAATACTTGTCAAGAATAAAGTGTATCTCACTTATAAGGAAAAATATAATATATATTTTTTGAAAAATATAATGCTTTTAAATCAAAACATAAAAATATTACATTTTTCTTTCAAAGTATTACTGAGTACATTTACCTTAATAACAAATTACTTTATTCTGGATTAATATTATTACATTTTTCAGTATAACTATTGTATTTCATATTGACCCGTCAATAGTCTCACACAAGTTTTTGCCTATAATATCTTAGGGCCAACAACCTCAACTAAATTGGTCAGATTCTTGACTTGGTAATTAGAATATTACCGACTCTTAACAATGACAGCCTATTGACCTTCTTAGTTTTTGAGTCAGCCTTTGCTAGCTAAGGTCACAACCCTCAGGTAGCGGCTCCAAGTTTTACCAAAAAAGCACCAATTGTGTTTGAAGTAGCCAGTAGTGTATACATAATATAATGTTTGTTAGTCCGCATGAACAGCTCAACTGGTCATAGAGGTGGTGAAAGTTGAAAAGAATGACCAGGGATCAAGTCTCACTAGCGGCAATGTGGGAGCAACCTCTCAAAGTGAGGGAGACTCCTTGTGCACAGAGTTACCATGATTTACATCCTCCTAAATGCCTTTAATTTGTGTAAGCTTATTCTTCTCTGTTTGTGTTTGTGAAATAGGTTCCTACTGTGGAGGAAGAGTACGTGGTGGGTTTTGATGGTGAGGTTGATGCTATAGTGAAACGTCTGACTGAGGGAGAAGGGTTTGAAGTTATCTCGATTGTGGGCATGCCAGGACTTGGCAAGACTACTTTGGCGAACAAGGTTTTCAAGGACGAAAGAGTTGAATATCACTTCATGAATCGTGCTTGGATTTATGTATCTGGAGTATACAAAAGAAGGGATGTTTTTCTAAGAATATTGAAGGAGTTAAGCAAACTCTCCCACACCTATTCTGATGACGTGACTGATGAAGATTTAGCCAAGGAAATTAAAAAATTTTTGGGGTCAGCAAAGTATTTTATCGTCATGGATGATGTCTGGACAGGTGAAGACTGGAATGCACTCAAAATTGCTTTTCCCATGAACAATGGAAGCAGGGTATTAGTTTCTACACGGGACAAAGTTGTGGCTATGCATGCCAATTCTAGGGGTGACCCTCATAACCTAAAATTTTTAACAGAGAAAGAAAGTTGGGAACTACTTCAGAAGAAGGTCTTCCGGGAAGAAAGCTGTCCTTTTGAGTTAAAAAGGCCCGGGAGAACCATCGCTGAAAAATGCGGTGGACTACCACTAGCAATAGTGATTATCGCTGGTACTCTCTTAGGTAAACCAAAAACAAGTGGGGCATGGGACAAGGTAGCTGAGAGCATCGGTGACTTCCTGAAACTGAAACTAGAGAGCTACGATTACCTAATACGAATGAGTTATGACCAATTGCCTTATGACCTCAAGAGTTGCTTCCTTTATTTTGGGGCTTTTCCTCGAGGAAATGAGATTCCAGCTGGAAAACTCATTAGGCTGTGGATTGCTGAGGGGTTTATTGAGGAAGAGGCACAATCGTTAACCTTGGAGGACATAGCTCATGAAAAGTTGAGTGATCTTGTGAATAGGAATTTGGTGATGTCTATGCAAAGAAAGTCGAATGGACAAATCAAAACTTGTCGAGTCCATGACATGTTACATGAGTTCTGCAAGAATGAGGCCAAAAAGGAGAATCTATTTGAAGAAATCAACACGGGCAGGCAGCTAGATACTTGTCGCCGCCTTTGTGTCCAGTGCAATGTTTCTGAGTTCCTCTCCTCAGGTCTTTCTGCTGACCATGTCCGCTCTTTGCTATGCTTCTCCTCAAATAAATATGATCTGCCTGCAGACAATATTTCAATCATTCGGGAAGCGTTTCCACTGCTAAGGGTGTTACACACTGCACCAGATGAATCCATCATCTTCACACGTTTTCCTAGAGACATGACTAATTTGTTCCATTTAAGGTACATTGCAATATCAACTACCCTCACGATCCTTCCTCAAGCCATTGATAGCCTGTGGAACATGCAAACTCTTATAGTTAGGACAACACAAAGCACCCTTAATATCAAAGGAAACATATGGAAAATGACACGATTGAGGCACGTGCAAACAAATTCATCTGCTCAATTGCCTCCACCTAACACCAAGAAAGATCCGTTTGCAAATAGAAACTTGCAAACACTTTCAAGGATTTCACCTGAAAGCTGCACGGCAATTGCACTGGCCAAAGCTCCAAATTTGAATAACTTGGGTATACAGGGAAATTTGGCTAAGCTTTTTGAAACCAACAAGGATACTGGGTCCAGTTTGTTCAAAAACCTTGGAGAATTGAAGTTGTTGGAGAAACTGAAGCTGTTGAATCATGGTGGGAATGTGCAACGCCTCCCTCAAAAATATGAATTTCCACAAAAGATTAAGAAGTTGACCTTGTCCAATACTCACCTCGAATGGACTGAATTATCTATACTGGGATCACTGGAGTACCTTGAAGTTCTGAAATTGACCGAAAATGCATTCAAAGGAAAGGAGTGGGAGCCATCCAAAGGCGGCTTTCCTTGTCTCCAATTCTTGAGAATTGAGAGGACAGATTTGAAGTCATGGAAGGCTTCTAGCCTCCACTTCCCATTACTAAAGAGTCTCATTCTTAGACAATGCCTTAATCTGGAGGAAGTCCCACCTAGCCTGGCGGACATAGACAATCTTCAGGAGATGGAGCTGAACCGTACCAACCCAAGGGCTGCACAGTCAGCCTGGAACATTTTACAGATAAAACAAGGGAAAGAGATGGAACTAAAGGAGAAAGGAGGAAGCCCCCGGAGATTCAAGCTCAATATCTATCCTCCTGATGAGCTTGAACAGATACAGCAAATTTAAAAATGCCATGGTGTCATACTGTCATCTAGATGATCTTTTGAGTGTGCAGGTCAGTTAAAAATCTCTTCTTTTTTCCTGCAGTAATGAGTCTTGTTCCTTGCAGCTCTTTACATACTTGGTAAGTGAACTTTTATTTATTGTTCGGCAAAATTATATTCATTCAAAATGAAGTGGCTAAAGCATGTTCTGTTTCTCCATGTCTGCATATATTTAGGTGAACCGTATTGGTCCGTGTCTAAGCGTGGGTTTGTGAAGGGCATGAAGTGAGGATCTTTTGTATGCAGATGAGATGGTAGCATTTTGGAATTGTCTACCCAATCATTGTTTTGGCAAAATTCTGTGTGCTTTGTTTGGTGTGGTGAGAGCTTATGTTTTTGGAAATTCAATTTGTTATTTGTGGTGTTTGTTATTCATTGGGGATTTGGAACACATATTTGAACTATGGTCAAGATGTTTGCATTTCTGTTATTTCCACTTGTTTGTTCATTTATGAATCTTCATTCATTTCATTTCCTTTCCTTGGGTTGCCTTTATGATTACACTACAACTATGTTAATAATTTCATCAGGGGAGATTGGGAGAGCGTGTCTCCATTTTCTGAAGTGTTTGGTAAATAGTTGTTAGCTGATAGTTGTTAGCTTATTGGATTAGGGATTTTAGGGAATTTGACTAGTTGATCGCATTAACTGAGCGTAAAAAAGTGTTTAGTAAATTAGCTGTTAACTGATAGCTGATTACATGCAAAATGATTCTCTCGAAAAGCATTTTAGAGCAATTTATTGTTATAAAAGCTAATTAATCAAATAACTAATAGTGGTCAAGACTAACTATTTTAGCAAACAAGAACTTTGTAATGAGTTTTATCATGACAATTTTGGAGTTTCCAGTTCTACTGCTCTAATCTGAGTGAGTTTATCAACATCAATTTCTTCTATCCTAAGGGTCAGGAGGGGTAGTATTGTAATTAAAGATTTTTTTTTGTTTGATGGTCATTTGAGCAAAAGTTTGGCCATGTGGGATGTCCCATTGCTCAATTTTACATTATTTCTTATTTATATTTTAAAATTTTAATAACTAAATAAAACAAAAGAGTTAAGGCAAAAGTAGATAGTTATTTCTGACTGACAAATTACCCCATCTATTATTATACCATTGATATGTGTCATGGGTATATTATATCAATCAGGCTGGTTAGGATAGGGGTCATTCAAATTTAAAGATAAATGTCAAATTTTGGAGGAACAAACATTAGGGAGAAGAGTGTATACTTTGTCAAACCCTAATTAAACCCTTTCCAAAAAAAAAAAAAAAAAAATTGAATTTTAACATCAGATGCCCCAAGCCAAGTAGATTTAAGATTGTAGACGTTAAGAGTACTATATCGAAAAAATAAGAAATATTACTTGCATCAAAGTTAACACATGTTACTTACATCAAAGTTAACACATGTTACTTGTATCAAAGTTCGAGTTATTTACGAAAATGTCACATCGATGGGTTCTTCAACAATCCTTAACCCTGCAATACTCTCTCATTTTCAAAAGTGGTCCTACTCCCACATATCCAATTTGCAATTCATTTACTATTCATATTACATCCCTGCAAATCCAATTAACTTTCAAAAGTAGACCCGAATATCACATCAATATATATATATATATATATAGGGATGCACTCAGGTGCGAATAAGTGCTCAGGAGGAAATGCGAACGAATCAGCGCGCGACACGTGTCCAGATCTAATAACTTAAAAAAAAAACGCGGTGGCATTTTCGTAAATAATTGAACATCGAAGTGCAAGTAAAATCACTTACAAGTGCACCTACTTTCACTTATAAGTGCATATAATTTTGCCTTGTTAGCATTCACTTTCCGCAAACATTCATGCACCTGGGTGTGCTTATAACTATATGTGCAACTATTTATAACTATTGGTGCAACCACTTATAACTATAGGTGCACCTACTTTCACCTATAAGTGCATGTAATTTTGCCTTGTTAGCATTCACTTTCCGCAAACATTCATGCACCTGGGTGTCTTATAACTATATGTGCAACTATTTATAACTATAGGTGCAACTACTTATAACTATAGGTGCACCTACTTTCACCTATAAGTGCATGTAATTTTGCCTTGTTAACATTCATTGATCTGAGTTCAGCGGGTAGTAATACCCCTGAAAACCACTCGCAAACATTCATACACCTAGGTGCAACTGCTTATAACTATGTGTGCAACTACTTAGAACTATAGGTGCAACTAAGTATTGATGCTCAGTGTAAATTTTTACTTGCACCTATAATACATTTTACATGCACTTGTAATACATTTTACTTGCACTTCGATGTTTAATTATTTACAAAAATGCCACCGCATTTTTTAAAAAAATCAGTGTTTCTCATCCATTAGATCTGGACACGTGGACAAACAGAATTCATTCCTATTTCGCGCCTGGGCTAAGCATTCGCACCAAAGTGCGATTATATATATATATATATATATATATATATATATATATATATATATATATATATATTTTGGATTAGGTGAGGTACCTATTTAAAATGAGGTCTGGTGAGGATCGATCTGGTGCGTTGGTTGGTGATTTTGTGCGGCTGTGATTGGGGGCAATTTTAAGCTTATTATAAGATGATTCTTTACTTTTGGGGTCTTAATGTAATTAGTCATGAGTTTTTATTGTGTTGCCTTTTTTATATTAATTTGACGATTCTTTATTGTGTTGTTTTCCTTACCCGTTTCTTTTATTTTTTGTCTGTCCGGGTTCCTCGTGTGCGTTATATTTATAGCCATCCGCACGTTTTTCTTCTTCTTGTCAGCGCCGGCGACCATCTTCAGGCAGCAGCGTATTGTACTAGATCGTTCGTCTGCGCTCTTCAACTAATCCATGGACGGCTCCTCATCTAGGCGTTCATTGAGACGGCATGGATCTTCGTCCGTTGTTGTTCAAGGTACGCTTTTCTTTTGATTAACTGGGTGGACTTATATGGGTGGCTTTATATTTCGTTTTGGGGCTTTAAATCCCCTGCATGTATCGTTTTTATGTTTAGGTTGATGGGGCTGTTGGGGTGGGAAGAATGTGGTGGGCATTTGTGAGGGGTGGGGGCATGGGCGGTGGTGTTGAGTTGACGGGGGTAGAGGGCTTGGGTCGGAAGTGGGGTTGCAGGCTGCGGTGGGGATGTTCATGGGGGTGGGATTTCAATTAGGGTTTTGTTTTTTTTTTTGTTTTTTTTTTTTTTTTTTTGTGGAGAATTCATGATGAGTTTTTGTTTCTTTTTTTTTTTTTTTTTTTTCGGGGGAATTCAGCATGACGTTTAGAATTCCAGGATGAGGTTTTTTTTTTTTTTTTTTTTTTTTTTTTTTTTTTTTTTTTTTTCCGGCAGAATGCTGTAGGAAGGTTTTTTTTCTTTTTTTTTTTTAAAGTTTTTTTTTTCCGAATTTTAGGGTTCTCTTTCAGGGTTGTTTAACGTTGGTGGTTTCATTTTTTTTTATAATTTATGATTATGATTATTTGTTTGTTGTGTTTATATATTAATGTGTGTATGTTAATATATATATATTTTTTTAATTTCAAAATTTAATGATTAAGTGTTAGTTTTTTTGTTTCCAAATGTTACTGTGTATAATCTTGAAACTGATAATGCTTGTTGTTTTTAGCTATGTATTTGTATATTAATTTCTAGAGTTTGTCCACATGTATAAAAAAAATGACACTGCAAAGTCCATTATGCGAGTTATGCTATTTGCAGCTTCCACGTGACTAAATAAGTGACACTTCTGTTTCAAAATAAATAAATAAATGACACTTCAAAGTCCATTGTGCAAGTTGTGCAATTTGCAGCACAAGTTCTAGAGGTTAAAAATTAAAGTTCTAGGAAATTAAAGGATAATGCAAATACAAAAAGGATATGTCCATAAACTATTGTTAATTTTAATTTATTATTATAGGTTTACAAAACTATGGGAATTGAAATTATTATAGTATAGAAATCATGGTTCTGTTGCTGTTTTGCTCTGTTGTTTGTTCGCTAGTGTTACATTAGTGGTGTGCGGGGCAGTTTGATGGTTTGTGCGTTTTATGTTATTCAGTGTTCTAACATTATATTAATAATGACTAGTTATAAAAAAATTCAGCCTCTTTTGGTCTTCAAATTGTCCTTTTATAATGTTTGTGATAAATATATTTATTTAGTTGTGCATGTCTTTGTTGGGGCTTGTGCGTTTTGCATACTATGGTCGTTACTATGTTATTTGTGGTGTTACTAGGTTCAAATTTTGTTCATTCTGGTTGTACAAATTAAATATGTTAGTTGTATGTAATTTGGAATTTATATTTTTGGTTTTTTATGATTTCTTTTTCATAATTACTAGTTATTTAGAAAATCTGACATTTTTGGTTTACATTTTAGTCATTTAACATGTTTTTATTAAATATATTCATCTGGGCTTGTGCATGTTTTTGGTTGGGCTTGTGCGTGTTTAATAATAATTTTTAGGTATTTCAAAAATCTGTTTTTTTTTTTTAAGTCGTTTTGATTGTTTTTTAAACATTATATTTTACTCGCATTTAAAAATAAATTGATGTTTGTGTCTAAGTGTTTTTTGCTCTTATTCTAATTATTTTTAGTTTTGTATTTTTATTAGTTTGTTTGTGTTTGTGTGTACATATCTTTTTGGCGATGTGTGCAATAAGCTTACCATTTTTTTTGTAGGGGACAATACTGTTCCTCGTGCTTTCCCTTCTTTTAGAGGCTGGGAAACAAGTATTCTTAGGGCCCGGGAGTTGGCTGAGATGACAGATGGAGGCTTTGGTCGGGGGGCGGTGGTCGGGCCATATGTGCCGTCTGTTGACTGTACTAATCCGTCTACTTCTGTCCGGCCTCAGGTATTTATTTTTCTAATCCGTATTTTTTTTTCTTCTAGTGGTGTCGTATGTTACTATTCTTGTTTGTATTTTATTGTCGTTGCACATAATTTATGTTCTCCTTATGTTGTTTATTATTATGGAATATTATTATATCTTTCTTTTTTGGAATTTATACATATAGCAGTTCGTGCGATTTTGTGTCACAGCTTGTGCATGTAATATTGTTCGTTATTTTAGCCTTTTTTAAGTTTGTGCGTTTTATTTCTGCGGTCTGTGCTCTAGCATTCATAGTTCCATTTTCATTTTTTATGGTGTCGTATGCAGTGGTATTTTATTGTTGGATTTTTATTTTCGTTAGATGTCATTAATATTATGTGTATGTTGTTTATTGCTTTGGAATTTTATTCTTTTAAACTTGATTTTTATTCCATATATCACTTTATGCATTTCTGTGTCAGGGCTTGTGCATGTTCTATCCTCCTTTATTTTCTATTCATTTTATGTGTGTGCGTTTTATTACAGCGGCCTGTGCTCTAGCATTAATAACCCTCTTTCCGTAAGTTTTTACATGTAGTTATTAGTTATCTATTATACAGTGGCTTTTTTTGTTGCATGCAGACGCCCGATAAAATATTTAATGAAAAGGCAAGTCTGCTAGGTGTAGCCTTGGATGATATCTTGCAGTTTCTTCATCAACAC